CGTGCAGACGCAGGCTGCCCAGGGCTGCCTCCGGGCCTGCCGCCTCAGCTAGGAACGTACTCCGTCCCTGTTGATACTTTCCCTGTCTGATGTAGGCGGGGAGCAGAGGCCCGAGCCGCTGACCGACCTGTCCGTTTCTTCCAGCCGTGAATGTGGACTCCTCCCACACGGAGTACACGCTGTCCTCGCTGACGAGCGACACGCTCTACATGGTGCGCATGGCGGCCTACACGGACGAGGGCGGCAAGGACGGCCCCGAGTTCACCTTCACCACCCCCAAGTTCGGTGAGGAGCGACAGCCTCTCCCTTTCTGTCTCATCCGCCTGAAGGGCTGTCTGTGCTGGAATCTTGTTAAAAGTCCATCTTTGGGTTCATAGGAATGAGGTTCAGAAATTAGACGTTTATGCTATGATCTGTTTTAGTTGTTTCTTTAAACGATAGAAAATCGTTTTCCTGACCTTTTTTGTTTTATTAACTGTTTCTGATTGGTTTCACCTGGACCCTAAAAACTCCCCAAAGCTGGCTGCCTTCCTCAGTGGCTCGTTTCTTTGCTGGCGGATCCTGGAGGGTTTGTCTGCTGTCCCTGCTTTTATGGCCAGTGCTGGGGGCCTGGTCTGCCCCTGCGGGCCCCACTCACCCCTGCAACCCAGCTTCACGGACACCCCTTCCCGCCCCCGACGCCCCTTCCCGCCCCCGACGCCCCTTCCCGCCCAGGCTGAAGCCTGGCTGTCGCTCAGGAGCCTTTGTGGTCTGGTCTTTGTGCCTCTGTCTTTCCCGATCTTCCTACTTCTCAGTCTGACTCCCGTGGCCTCTCTGTCCTCAAAAATGCCTCTTCCCTTGGTTCTTCTAACCCAGTAGTCGGCAAACTCATTAGTCAACAGAGCCAAATATCAGCAGTACGGCGATTGAAATTTCTTTTGAGAGCCAAATTTTTAAAACTTAAACTATATAGGTAGGTACATTGTTATTAACCTACCTATATGTATAGTCTAAGTACTGTTGATATTTGGCGCCTCCCCCCCCTGCGTATCCCACGGCCCGACCGACCGACACCCCGCACTTCTTCTAACGCCACTACTTCAAAATGGGCTCGCCCAGGCCGAAAACCGACTTCTGCGCATGGGCCACAAAGTTTCAATCGCACTGTATGTGCGCGCCCGCACGTGGTATTTTGTGGAAGAGCCACACTCAAGGGGCCAAAGAGCCGCATGTGGCTCGAGAGCCGCGGTTTGCCGACCACTGTTCTCACCCCTTTGTTGCCCAGATAGCCCTGCGCCTCCCTGTCCGCCTCCCCCTCGCCACCTCCCACCCAGTCCCCTCGCTGCCTCCCGCCCGTTCCCTGTCCGCCTCCCGCCAGCATGTGAGCGCTGTCACGGGCCGCCTGCTGTGAGCGGCGTGGCTGGGATGGGCCACAGGGATGGGGAAACAGCCGTGAAGTGTGGAAAGGCTGAAACAATGGGATGGTGTTCATCTTTCCCAATAGTCCAGGCACCTCACAGAGATATTGGGGGACTTCCAGGCCTCAGCGAGTGTCACCGTGCAGTGCGTCCCCCGCATACCTGGTTCCCCATGCACATAGGGGCGCGTTTACCTGCATCTAGTCACGCACAGTAGGGCTGTCTGATCAGGCACCACCTCCGTTCAGGGCCTGTGCTGTAAGGATGCCGACGCCCCAAGCTGTGCAGGGCGGTCTGTCGGGCTGTGGAGCGGGTCTGTGTGCGCAGCCCGGGTGGCGGGAAGCGTGTCTCTTCGGCATCGCTGAGCCCTGTCTCCTCCCCGTCCCCTTCCAGCCCAGGGCGAGATCGAGGCCATCGTGGTGCCCGTGTGCCTGGCGTTCCTGCTGCTCACGCTGCTGGGCGTGCTGCTCTGCTTCAACAAGCGGGACCTGTGAGTACCCCATGCGCACCTGCCCCTGGCGGCGTGTCTGACGGCTCTCCCCCGGTGTGTCTGACGACGGCTCTCCCTTGACTGCATGTCTGACGGCTCTCCCCGGCGGCTTGTCTGACGGCTCTCCCCCGGCTGCGTGTCTGACGGCTCTCCCCCGGCTGCGTGTCTGACGGCTCTCCCCCGGCTGCGTGTCTGACGGCTCTCCCCCGGCTGCGTGTCTGACGGCTCTCCCCCGGCTGCGTGTCTGACGGCTCTCCCCCGGCTGCGTGTCTGACGGCTCTCCCCCGGCTGCGTGTCTGACGGCTCTCCCCCGGCTGTGTGTCTGACGGCTCTCCCTTGACTGCATGTCTGACGGCTCTCCCCTGGTTGCGTGTCTGACGGCTCTCCCCCGGCGGCGTCCTGAGAGCCAGCGATGCTGCGACTCACGCCTTCTCGCTGTGGAGCAGTGTCCTGGGCACGGTCCGTCCGCGTCAGCCCACACGCTGTGGCGGAAGCTCCGGGGTTTCTTTGAGGGTGGCCGCTGTGAGCGACGTGCTCTGCTGGTGAAGCGTGTCTTGGCGTCACGTGTTATGTTAGCGAGGAGGGTCGCCGGGTGGTGTGGCAGGTGCACGTCTAACTTTATCGGAAACTGTCACCCGTTCTCCAGGCTGTGGGGTTAGTGGGCGTGTTACCCCCCTTATGGGAGGGTTCCTGTGGGAGTGGGGTTGCCTCTTTTTTAAACGTCTGATGGGATTTACAGGGGTCGCCCTCGGGGCTGAGGTTCTCTCTTGGGGAGAACTTGCTTTTTGCGCAGATGGGGCGAGAGGAGTGTGTCTCAGTCGGCTCGTGGCTGGTCTGTGGGCCGAGGTGGGAGCCCTCCGCCCACACTTCCTGGTTGTGCGGGGAGGCAGCCTGGAGGTCCCTTCCCTCACGCGACCGCTCCCTGCAGAGCTGGGCCCTGACCGGGCAGGGCCTGTAGAGGGAAGCGCACCTGAGAAGGCCCGTGATGATGGGGTCTCCTCACTTAGGTGTTTTCAGTTCTGTTCCTCTTTGTTCCTGTCCTGGTGCCCAGCTGAAATTGCGTCTGTTGTCTGACAGTTGGAAGTTGAGCGGTTTTCTCTGCTGCCATCGGGAGGGGCTGAGCTGCCGCACGTTGTGACCTGGCGACGCTCGGCCGTGGTCTCGGTGCAGGATTGGCCTGAGGTTTTCCCGGTGGAACGTCACTGACCGGCTTAGCCTTGTTGGCGGCCTTGCGTCACGACAGGGCGGCGGTCCTCCTGCCTCACGGCGCTGCTCGGCGGCTGCAGGCCTTGCTCAGTGGCTTTGGGTTCAGCGGGTGCTGTTGGGGGGAGTGTGTCTGGGCTCAGGGGCCCCCTCGTGTGCTGCCCGTGGCCCCTCACCAGCCGTGTCTCCTTCCCTCCAGGATTAAGAAGCACATCTGGCCCAACGTCCCCGACCCGTCCAAGAGCCACATCGCTCAGTGGTCGCCGCACACGCCGCCCCGGGTAAGACAGAGGGCAAATGAGGGCACGTTTGTGGGGTCAACCTAGAGCTAACCAGTTGGATCCAAAAGTAAGTGGAACCAGAATAGCATACGAATGAGAATCGTAACCAGCATTTCACGTGATGCCTGCGCGTTCTATGCCGTTACCCTTGGAGCACATTCATGCTGACACGTGGGTGTCGGCCGCAAGCAGCCTGGTACTGCAGCGCGAAGCTTACAGGTGTCGGTACCGCCCCGCGGGCGGGCATTCAGCTGCGTGTCCCCATCGGCCTGCGCAGCCGGCGTGTTCCCGCGCTGACGGGCGGTTTCCTCCTGGATCCCGGGAACCACCCTGAAGGGAGGGATCTGTATGCGTTGCCTTCCCTCCTTGGACTCCGAGTTAACAGACTGACGTGTAGTGTGTGTATGTTCTGTGGAACCTGAGTCATTTGAGTTTGTTTTTTCTGGACGTTTCTAGTTTCTCGGTCGCGTTGGCCCTGGGCCGCCCCGTCCGGGCGTGGAGAGCGAGTGCTGCTGTGCCAGCAGCGTGGGCTGGGCTCTGACGAGGCGCAGCCGGGGCCCACGGGAATGTCCCCGTAGCTGGATCCGGGCGCTCGTGGCCGGTGGCGGAGCGGTGTCACCTCCGCCAGCCACGGGCGCTCAGAGACGCAGGCTGGCTCCGCCCTCGCGTGTGCCTGCAGTTCCTGAGTGACGGGTCGTAGTGACAATCCATCCTCCCCGCCCCCTCTCTCTCTCTCTCTCAGCATAACTTCAACTCAAAAGACCAGATGTTCTCGGACGGCGCGCTCACGGACCTGAGCGTGGTGGAGATCGAGGCGAGCGACAAGAAGCCGCTCCCGGAGGAGCTCAAGGCCCTGGACCTGTTCCGGAAGGAGAAGCTGAGCACGGGCGGCCACAGCAGCGGCATCGGCGGCTCCT